GCCCTACTGGGCTCTGACCCGTTCCCAGAGCTCTATGGCCAGTGGCTCGGGCTCCGGAAGAACTCTGGGGAGCCTCCCGCCCAGGACCCCACTTCAGGTCCTGTTACTCAAAGCCCCTGGCACCTCTGACTGCCCCTTCCTGCCCTACCTTTTATCTTTCACATCCTTTAAATCTAGACTTTGTTCCTGGTCTCTTGTTAGTGGGTGACTTCTCAGCTCCCTGGGGTGCTGTCCACTCCAGATCTCCCCTGTGGCTGACTCGGCATGCCCAACCTGAGCTCCTCACTCACCCACCTTCTTAGCCAGTGGCTTTGGCATCCTCTCCCCCTGTTCCCTTCATGCCCATAGCCTTAGAGTCACCTCAGATGACTCCATCCTTGTCTACCCATGGTGGGATACCAGGTTTCCTACCATGTCCAGGCTGGGGAGGGGGCTGCTTTCCAGAGATTTCAGACAGGAGAAGCCAGAGAACTGGCCCCCAGATGGAACATTCAAGAGAAGGCAGAAAAGGAGGGGAGGCAATTATGACATGTTTACAATTTTTTTTTTTGAGTGGAGTATCACTCTACTGTTCAGGCTGGAGTGCAGTGGCACCCTCACCACCACTGCAGCCTCGACCTGCTGGGCTCAGGTGATTCTTTCTACTTCAGCCTTCCAAGTAGCTGGAACCACAGGCACACACCACCACACATAGCTTTTTTTTTTTTAATTGTAGAGAATGAGGTCTTACCAAGTTGCTCAGGGTGGTCTTGAACCCCTGCTCAGGCAATCCTCTTGCCTCTGCCTCCCAAAGTGCTGGGATTACAGGAGTGAGCCACTGCACCTGGCTGATGTTTTACATTTTAATCTCAATAGTTATGTGTTTATTTTAACGTGAAATGGGGAAAAAACCATGCAGCATATCCTACCTATAACGTGATGTCATGGGGCATGTGACTGAAGATGACATCAAGTTAAAAAGAATCAGTAACCATTGATTTCATGAAAACTGTTCAGTAAATTTTAGAACAGGGGATGTGGCAGAACCCAGGGCTCAGGTACAGAGTGGTGGGCATATGGGACCTGCTCCAGGTGTGTGCGTGTCCTTCGGGAGTTGGGAGGTATTAAGGGATGTGTGAGGCTATCTCAAAGTCTTTGCTTTGCATGTAAAATGCAGACCAGCGTGGTGTGGTGGCTCACACCTGTAATACCAGCACTTTGGGAGGCTGAGGCAAGAGGATTGCCTGAGCCCAGGGGTTTGAGACCAGCCTGGGCAACTTGGTGAGACCTCGTCTCTACAAAAATCAAAAAAATTATCTGGGCATGGTGGCACGGGCCTGTGGTTCCAGCGACTTGGAAGGCTGAGGTGGAAGGGATTGCCTGAGCCCAGCAGGTCAAGGCTGCAGTGACCAGAGTGTGCCACTGCACTCCAGCCTGAGCGACAGAGTGAGACTCCTACTCAAAAAAAGAAAACATGCACGTCAAGGTGCTTTCTACTTAACTCCAAAGCAGTGCTGTCCTATGGAACTCCTGGGGATGGTGGGCATGTTTTGATTTTGTGCTGTTCAATGAGGTGACAAGTGGATGCTTAAAATAGGGGTAGTGCACCTAAGGAACTGAATCCGTTTTATTTAAATTGAATTAAGTTAAATTTATTTCTTTTTTAATTTTTATTTTACAGCTGTGGGGATACAACTCAGGGTTAGGTATACAAGTAATTAAGTTGAATTTAAATAACCCCACGTGACCAGTGGCTACCATATTGAACAGCACGGCCCCAGAGTGAAGCTTTCCAATACAAATACAAGGGGACCCAAAAAACCCCGGAATTTATTGATAAGAAATTGTGTCTTCTTACATGTTTAAGTTTCAGTCACCTTCAAAGTACTCTCTGTTAGATGCAACACGCTTATCGAGATGCTTTTTCCACTGCTCAAAACAGTTTTTGAACTCGTCCATTTTGATGCCTTTGAGTGCTGCTTCCTTTTTTTGTTTCACCTCCCCTTTGAGGACTTTTTTTAAATCTGGGGAAACAAAAAGTCATCCAGGGCGAGATCGGGTGAGTAGGGAGTGTGGGGCCTGGGACGTCATGCCATTTTTGACCCAGAACTGCTGAACACTCAGTGTGGTGTGGGCAGGTGTGCTCATAAATCATCCATCATGAAATGGGCAAACACACTCCCGAGCACAGCCTCTCACAATCCTGGCAGATACACTGATGCCAATGGGTTCCTAGAACACTTAAACCTATTGGAGGAGGCCTCTATGTCAAGGGGCCCACCCTCCAAAAAATAATTCCATTTCAGGGGGGCTCCCCCCTCGTATAATATGAGTCATGCACATAACTTATATTTTTCTAGGAGCCACATTTTAAGAAGTCAAAAGGAACAAGTAAAACTATTTCATTTTTTTAGTTGGGGTCTCACTCTGTTGCCCATGCTAGAGTGCAGTCACGACAGCCTCGACCTCCGGGCTCAGGCGATCCTCCCACTTCAACTTGCTGAGCAGCTGGGAGTACAGGTGTGCACCACCACGTCCAGCTAATTTTTTGTTGTTTTATAGAGATGAGGTCTCACCATGTTGCCCAGTCTGGTCTCGAATTCCTGGGCTAAAACAATCCTCCCTCCTTATCCTCCAAAAGTGTTGGGATTACAGGCATGAGCCACAGCACCCAGCCTTTATATCATTTTAATGGAAACTTTGAAGCTGGGTGTGATGGCTCATGCCTATAATTCCAGCACTTTGGAAGACTGAGGTGGGAGGATTGCTTGAGCCCAGAAGTTTGAGTCCAGCTTGGGCAACATAGCAAGACCTGGTCTCTACAAAAAACTTAAAAATTGGCTGGGTATGGTGGTGCATACCTGTTGTCTGGGAGACTGAGGCTGCAGTGAGCCATGATCGTGCCACTAATCCAATATAGGCAACAGAGTTAAACCCCTGACTCAAAAAAAAAAAAAAAAAAAAAAAGAAAATAAAGAAAAAGAAAGAAATGAAACACAGAAAATAAAGTTATGGGCCAGGTGCAGTTCCATCCCAGCACTTTGGGAGGCAGAGGTGAGAGGATTGCCTGAGCCCAATGGTTCAAGACTAGCCCAAGCAACTTGGTGAGACTTGTGTCTACAATAAATAAAAAAATTAACCAGGCATGATGGTGCACACCTGAAGTTCCAGCTACTTGGAAAGCTGAGATGGAAAGATCTCCTGAGCCCAGCAGGTCGAGGCTGTGGTGGCCAGGAGAGCGTGCCACTGCCCTCCAGCCTGGGTGACAGAATGAGACTCTGAATCAAAAAAAATAAAAAGAAAGTCGTGTTTAGTGGAAAAATATTTTATACTGCTTCAGTTTTAAAATTTAAATTAAAATAAAATAAATTCAGTTCTTCATTCACATAGGGCACATTTCTAGTGCAACCACTGGCTCCCATAATGGACAGTGCAACTGTATTTATGTCCTTTTTTAAAAACGTATTTTATTTTAAATTTATTACAGACAGGGTCTCACCTTGTCACCCAAGCTGGAGTGCAGTGGTACACAATCATAACCGCAAACTCCTGGGCTCAAGTGATCCTCCCACCTTGGCCTCTCAAAGTGCTGGGATAGTTTCATATATATATATATTCCCCTTTCCATGCTTGGGTAACACTGAGCCTCCCACAGCTGCCCCCCCTATTCAGGGGTTTTGTGTATCCCTGCTTCCTCCTCACGTGGGTTCGAGAAGCCCAGCCTTGGGCTCCCAGTTGAGTGATCTCTCTGCCACTGCCTGTCTCCACTCGGGGAGGTCCCAGCCACGTGTGTAGCCCACTGCTCTCTAATGAGCTAGAGGACCCACAGTGCTATCACGGTCTTCTCCAGCTAGAGGGAGTGCTTGTCCATTTCTGCCCATGAAAAGGAAGCCCGTCCTCTCAGGGAGCTGTGAATGGGACTTCACCCCTCCCTCGCCAGCAGTTCCCAGCACGCTGAGCCCTGTTTTGGCCTCCAGCCTGGTCTCTGCCAGGCGAACATGCCATGTGGGCCCTCGGGGCCTGGGAGCAGTTCTCCACCCCTACCCCCAGACTAAGTCTAGAATTTGTGACCTCAGGAGCTCTGTGAGAGTAGTAACCATGTCTCCCCTGTTCACCACTCTGTCCCCAGCCAGAGCACAGTTCCCGGCAGAGAGAACACAGCACCCACCCGATGGGTGAATGCACCAGTGAATGAAGAGTGACTTTAACACGGCCCCTGGCTCGCCTCCTCCCTCCCTTCCCAGCCTCAAATTCCACCCCTCGCCCCAACCCCTCCTACCCTCAACATCTCCCCTCCGTGGCTTTGCTCAAGCTGTCCCCTTGGCCTGGAATGTCTTCCTCTCCCTGTCATGGGTCGAAACCCAAGCCATCCTTTCAGCTCCACCAGTTCCACCCAGAAGGCTTTGCCTGGCTCTTCCCGCGCTGTCCCGTTTCCCCGTCTCTGCACTCCTTCTCCTCGCCCACTGCCTGGGCTTCTGTCCCTGCCCACCCTCCATCGCTCAGGAAGGGAACCACTCGTCTGCATCCTTCTCCCACATCGTAGGCAGATACCGGGGGAGCACCTGTGCGTGCTGGCACTTCACGTGAGCCAACTAGTGTGTGAAATGATCTTCCTGCTGCCCTGGCAACAGCCTTCACGGGAGGTGCTGCCTTTACCCTTTATTACAGATGAGGAAACTGAGGCTCCACGTGCCTCAGTAAGACCAGCCCAAGGGGAACACAGTCAGGAAGGGTAGAGATGGATGTGAGCCCAGGTGGCCAGGCTCTATGGCACAGACTCTTATCACCCATCAGGATGGTCTCCTACCCCATCAGATGGTGAACTCTTGGAGGCAGATGTGCTTCTTCGTCTCTGCTCTCCAGAGCCACCGTGGCGGGAGAGCCAGGGAGGGACCCTGAGGCTCTGAGTTAGGAGGCCCTGCTGTGCTCAGTCAGCTGAACACCGGTTGTGGCTTCCTCCCATGCAGGGCGTCACTGAGGGCTACAATGGCACCATCTTTGCCTATGGCCAGACGGGCAGCGGGAAGTCCTTCACCATGCAGGGCCTGCCACACCCAGCCACCCAGAGAGGCATCATCCCCAGGGCCTTCGAGCACATTTTTGAAAGTGTCCAGGTATGGGCCTCCAGGAGGGAAGGGGTGGGCCTAGAGCCACAGATGTTCCCGGCCATCCTGAGGCAGGGGCCACAGGATACAATCGGAGCCCAGCCTGACTCGGCACACACGGATCAGCGGAGAAGGCTCTGATTTCTGAAAAGGTGGTGGGGGAAACTTAAAACAGATCTACCAATTTTATCTACCAATTCCTGCTTCTCTCCTGTCATTTTTGGACTTTGACATTGCATTTAGCAATTCCTGAGGATATGACCATGCTGAGCCCTGGCTGAGGAAGTGGTTGTGACAACCACAGCTTCCCTTTTATGAATGGTTGTTGTGGAACAAGTCCTGTGTGAAGCCCCTTGCACGATGATCTCATGGAATCCCCAGATGAGCCAGGAGGTAGCTGATAGTCCCATTTTTGAGGCAGGGAGGCTGAGACTCCAACCCCTTAGAGGCTGGGTGAAGACTGGGCTCTAAACACATCCCAGTGTCCAAGGTGCAGGTGAGAATTGCCTTGGTTACCTGGTGGCAGTCCTGCCTCTGAGAAATGGGCCAGTTGGAACTCTAGCTCCGGTCAACAGCAGAGTCCACTGTGTCCACTCCCAGGACTCACTGTGGCAGCCACCGCAACATCTAGGAGCTGGGAGGGCTGCCTGCGGCAAGCCCGGAGCCAGTGCTTGGTCCAGGCCTTTCCCGTGGCCTTGGTTTTCTACCTGAATGCTGGCGAGGCCTCTCTTTCCCTCCCTTTTGAAGCTTGAAGACAGAGCAGTAGACAAACATTGAGAGGAGAATCATGCAACTCAGAGAGGCCTGAGATCCCACCAAGCTGGAGAGGAGGGGCGAGCTTGCCAGGCCCTGGAATTGGGACTCCCTCGCCCTGACGCCCCCTCTCTTCCCACACTCTCCTGGCTGTGGAGGGCTCTGGGACCAGGGTGGTGCCCAGCAGGTGGGCTTGCTGCTCAGAGGTCTCAGTTGTGTCTGTGGGCCCCTGCAGTGTGCAGAGAACACCAAGTTCCTAGTCCAGGCCTCCTACCTGGAGATCTACAATGAGGATGTCCGTGACCTGCTGGGGACTGACACCAAGCAGAAGCTGGAGGTGGGTGCAGACTGGTGCAAATGGTGGGGCTGGTGGGGGAGGTTGGCCTCTGATGGTGATCCCTCGGAAATGTGGAGAAGGTGTCCTGAGGGCACCCCCGTGCTGGCAGACTGGAGTGGTGGGGACTTTTGTTTTTAATTCTTTGTTTATCTTAAGAGACAGGTCTCACTATGTTGCCCCGGCTGGCCTTGAACTCCTGGGCTTATGCGAGCCTCCCACTCAGCCTCCCAAGTAGCTAGGATGACTACAGGCACATGCCACCATTCGGCTGCTCTGCCCTATTTATGCAGGCGCCTCCACCGCCCACCTAGAGTTTTCTACTGTCTTCTCTTTCCCTAGTGCAGCTGAATCATAGCTCAGTCCCCAGAAAGGGAAATAGGCAGAGGAGGCGGGCAGGGGGTGTCCTCCCACACATCAGCCCCAAAAGGCCAATCTGTGGGGTTGGGCACCCTGCACCCCTGCAAGCCTCCTTCCAACCTGCACTAGGGTGGCTGGGAGGCCTCCTCCCCTTCCTCACTACCCTGGATCCTAGAAAGGCCTCGGTTACCCAGGCCTGAGGGGCCGAAGGCTGACGGCTGCATGAACTCACTGCAGCTGAGCCACGGGCCTCAGGCCGCCGGGCCAGGCTGCCTGGGGACTGCGGTGACAGATGTACTCTGTGAAACACACCCCAGGGGACACTGGGCTCTGACATGCTCCCTCGTGGATGATGAACAGATAGCTCTTGTGTAAACCTCCCGGCAGCCTTGGAAAGAGGTCCGGTTTTTAAACTTTATAACATATGAGGAAACGAGGCCCGCGTGCCTAAGAAAGACCAAGCCATGGGTACACAGGAGAGTGGAGATGGGATCTGAACCTGGGGCCTGACTCCGCAGCACAAGCTTCTAACCTGCGCTCAACGCAGGCCTTGGGAATGGTTGTAGTTAGAGGTTATTCGGCCAGCTGAGGCCAGAGAGAGGTTTGGGGAAGCAGTATCCTGCCCCTCCCCCAGCCACTACCAACCACGGTCATGGAACCCAGGCCAGGATTGCCTAGCGGGGTGGTTCCCGGGGGAGCTTCTCTGGTGGGTTCTCCCCACCCCGTGTCTGGGCAGAGTGTCAAGGGCCCCCCTCCCGTGGCAGCCAGGGACACGTCCCTGCCCGTGTGCCCCTTTCCATCCCTGCCACATCTCAGCTGGTTGCCATGGCGACCCAGCTCTGGCCTTCGCAGCCAAGATGGGCAGTTACCAAGGAGTGTGTGCAGCTGGGAGCAGTCACTCGGCGACTCTCCAGGTGTTGGGGATGGGGTGGGAAGAACCCCTGGGAGCATCATGAGGTGGTGAGAGAGCCTTCCTGGGCCTGAAAATAGAGCAGCAGGAGACGCCTTGGGTGAGGCATCATCTCCTGAGGTTGCCCAGGCGGAGACAGCGTCCTCATCCTCTTTTGACAGGCATTCACTGAGCTCCCGCTAAACACCCGCAGAACTTTTTTTTTAGATCCATTATCATCTTAATCTTCATACCAGTCTTGCAGAAATAGAATTTATTATTTTTTATTTTATGTTTTTTGAGTTGGAGTCTCACTCTGTCACCTAGGCTGGAGTGCAGTGGCACACTTATTGCCACTGCAGCCTCGACCTGCGGGCTCAGGCAATCCTCCCGTCTCAGCCTTCCAAGTAGCTGGAACTACAGGCTCACTCCACCATGCACAGTTAATTTTTTGACTTATTATAGAGACCAGGTTCTTACCTTTTATTACAGATGAGGACACTGAAGCTCCACGTGCCTAAGTTGCCTAGCCTGGTCTCAAACCCCTGGGTTCAGACAATCCTCTCACCTCTGCCTCCCAAAGTGCTGAGATTATAGGTGTGAGCCACCATGCCTGGCTTATTATGCCCCTCTTACAGAAGGGGAAATTGAGGCCTGGAGAGACAAATTGACTTCCCCAGCTAGCAAAGGACAGAGCTGGTCTCCAGCCCAGAGTGCCATTCCCCACCTGGGCCTCCTGCTGGGGTTCTGGGCTCTGGGTGTGGCAGTGATCCAAGCAGGTGGCTCTCCAGGCAGGGCCGCTGTGACAAAGCCTCAGGCACTGCCGCAGCTTCTGCTGGCTTCAGTGGCTTGCAGGCTCCACCCTCCCGGCCACCTCCTAGGTCAGGGTCCACCCTTTGTCATTTCAAGCCTTGTTATTGCCCTAGCCTCTCTCTGCACCCCACCTCTGGGGCCTTCCATGACCTGTGACCCACTCATAGCTGCATGACCTTCGCCAGTCATTTAACCTTTCTGCGCCTGTCACTTGTCTGTTCCCTGAAGCCCAATGCCTCGGCTGGTTCTGGCTGTTTTCTCCACACTGCGCATTAGCAGAAAGGCCAGTCCGTGCGTGCCCTCCCAAACCCCCTCCTGCAGCAGGGGCCGGGCCCCATCTGGGACCCCTGAAGCCATCCGGAGCAAAGCACCTGAGCTTTCTGCAGCCCTGACGCAGAGCATTTGGCAGACGGACGCCTTTTGTCCTCGCTGGCTCTGCTCTCGCCAGAGTGGTTTGATTTCCTCTCACACTTGAAAAATATTGCTTTTCACAGCTCCGTGTCAGCAACAAACAACTTGGCTGCCTGGAAAGCCAGCAGGGAGCAATCAGATAAATTAATTTACTTGTCGCTCTGCCCCGAGGGCTGGGGGCCACCTGAGCCTTGAGCCTTCGGAGGTTCTGGGCCGCAAATGGCCATCCACCTGGTCCAGGGTCTAGGAACAGCTCCACTGCCCCCGTGTCAGCAGGAGCCCCATTGACAGGGCGAGGGAGACAGCACCCAGCGCCCTTGGGTGACTGCATGGTCAGCCCCACAGATCGGAGGTTCCATGCTGAAAGCCACCCTAGTAATAGCAGCACAAACAACAACACGGGGCGCCCCAGGCACCGGCTAAGCACTGCGCGTGCCTTATTTCACCGAATCCTCAGCACATCCCTGTGAGATCAGTGTCGTGCCCATTTCGCAGATGTGCAAACCGAGGCTCGGGTGAGGCCACTGGCCCCAGGCCTCACCACAAGTAGGAGGCGGGGGCGAGTTGAGGCCGGCTCCACGCCCGAACGCAGCCCTCCCTGTTCCCGGGCGTCCGAGGTGCGGGAGGGCAGGGTGGCCCGGCCCTCGGGAGCCGCGGCCCCAGCCCGCTGAGGCAGGAGGCCCGCCCTGACGCGTGCCTCCCGCAGCTGAAGGAGCACCCGGAGCT